CTTGAAAAATTAAATCATCTTTACAAAAGACAATAAGTTTGTCAGAGGAAGCAATAATAGTTTGATAAAGCGGAGATCTGCTTCCTATTTCGATAAACGTGTCTGTTTTTAAAATACAATGCCCATTTCTGGAGCAGGTGCCAATTAATTTTAAGCCATGTTGCAATCTTGGAGGTACCCTTATATTTACAACAACGTCTGTTGTGGAACTGGATGAAATTCGACAAGTATAGCTGTGGCTGATTTCACTGGAGGAGATCAGCATATACTCCCTGTCTAGATCATTCAAAGATTGTATATTGAAAATATAACTTCTTCTTAGCTCCCGAATTTCCATGACAACATCTGCTGTCTCTGTTAGGGTTATGGTGAAGATTCCAGAGATGAATGGAAATTCCTTTGAAAGTCTGATGTTGGACTCCGCAGGCCGTCCAATAGACCGATTCCCATGGGTTATGGTGGTATATGCTGCATTGGTTGTGTGTATTGAAAGTTCTGCAAATATTCTTCGTTCATCTGGTGCATACGTAAATGGAAAAAGGATAACAGTATATTTTTCCGATGATGCAAAACCTTAAAATACAAAAAAAAAAAGTTTTAACGGTTTTTAAAAAAAAAAGAATCTGAAAAATGAGTTGTGATACTGTATTGACCTTATTAATATGTGATCTCTTCTTGTAATATGTGATCTCTTCTTGCGCTTAAAGATATTGCTTTTATTTATTACTATTCAAACAGAATTTCAACAGATGTGCAACAAATAAGTTGCATATATATCGTCGAGTTGGGAAATCATTTTAATGCTATATGACAATTAAACATATACATTCATGAAATACTTTATTGCGAGTAATTTCGAAAGTATTTTTCTTTAATATAAATATGTATCTGTCAAATTAAGGAAATGTAATGTTTAGAATTTTTATCATTCGCTCAATTTTGAATACTGTTATAGTAATGGGTAGATATTCTAGAATCGAATCAGATGGACATTAAGCAAATCTGAACGACAGAATTCAGCAAAATCTTGCGTAATTGCAAATGATAATGAGTACTGTTATCTTTGACTGTCCAATTACATACAAATACTCTGAACAGGTTTTAATTTTGTAATCATATTTAATATTGATCGTGATCGGGAGGTCGTGAGTTCGAATCTCGGCCGCGACAGACCTAAGTCGATAAAAAATGGGTAGCAACTGTTCCTTCACCATGCGCTCGGCACTTTGAAGTGAAAGTTGCGATTCCTTCGGATGAGACCTTACAAACCGAAGTCCCGTGTCACGGTAGGCGTTGGCACGATAAAGACTCCTCACTGCTCAATGGCCCGGAGTGCCGAGTAGAGGTCAAAATTTGAAGCCCCTCACCGGTATATGGTGACGTCTCTAAATGAGTGAAAAATTCTCGAGTGGGACGTAAAACAACATGCAATCAATCAATCAATCATACTTAATAGTGAAAGTAAAATAAATACTTACCAAATAAAAAAATGCATGATGCAATAATGCACAACATTTTATCGAATAGGAACGATCCACAATTTTACTAAAGGTTCATGGGATTCGGCCAAAGAAAACCTCATATAAAATTTATATCTCTTTCTGAAAGGTAGATGCATATCAAATATAAATGCATATTGAGAATGTCCATACTGAATATTGAAGACTAAAGGTTATATGCTTATCACACTAATACCCTGTTTCTACGGATCAACGTAATGGAATTTACTCAATATTTTGATTAATATTTGCTATTTGCAATTATGTTTTCCATGGGATTTGGAAAATAATAAATAATTTGTCATGCTTAACCAAGTTATTATTCAAATAACATTAAATCTCCCCTAGTTTAGTGTAAACAAATCGGACTATCCAGAATTTTTTGTCTGACACACAATTCTGTCTAAATCTAATCATTCGAGCCAGAAATAAAAATGAACTCAAATTTATAGTATGTTGTTACCTTTATTAGTCTTCTCTCTGAAAAGATTTGTGAATATCATGTACTCATCTTGAGGTGTGTGAAAGGAAATGAAATGCCAATTTTTCTGATGTTACAGAGCCTTGGAAAATAATCAAAACGGGACCACAATGTTCGTCACCTTGGCCTTGCTTGTTTCAGAAAGAATCTTTTAAGGAATATATATTTTCGTTTCTTATGAAAAATAGTCTCCTATTGTTGCCACAACATACCCTCAAGAGGGCATCATATAACGCATGTTAAGGAGGCTGGGGGGTCAACAAATTAACCACAAATTAACCACCAGATTTACCTTAATTTTTTAGATATGATATCTTAAGCTGTCAACTATCATTTGGCAAAGAAAAATTTCAAAAATTTTAGTTTTAAAATTTGATCATTTTCTATATCTTCATATGGAGCTCTTCTTCTAAAGGAGATCAATATAGTCTAAAAATGGCCACAAACCCCCAGCCTCTTTAAATTCACACATTGTGATGCTTCAATGTCAGTGTGATTATTATCACTCTGCTGTTTCACGTAAAAAAATATTTTTTCAAAGCTTTTTCCCCTGTAAACATTTAGCTCCAAACTAATCGCAGGTTTAACAATTAAAAATAGGACTCTGTCTCTGCAACTTAGGCTTAGATTTAGTTTGGCACTGATGCTCTGGAACCCTAGCCCAGGGGACCATGAAATTATAAAACTGGAATGTTCCTCAACCTGACAATGATTCCATATTACTGTGACTAATTATGACCCTACTGATCTTGAGAAGAAGACTTTTTGAAAAAAAAAATCTCTATATATTCAAATATCTCTATTCATATGCAAACATTTGATATCCTGTTTGTACCCCCACCGTACCCCTGGGGAGCACTATTGAACAAATTTGAATATACACTACCTGATGATTTTTACATGCTAATATAACTTATCATGGCCATACTGCTCTTACAAAGATTTTTCCTATACATTCCCACGTAAAACTTATTTACGTTACTGTAAATTTGATTTATGATATTCTCAGTAAACATTTCCCTTAACTATGTATTAGTGGAAAGACTTTTGAAAATAGAAAGGGATAAATATTGGAAGTGAAGAGATAAATAAAGGGGTAGTAATTCTTTCAATAATTCTTTCAATTAATACAAAGTCCTCTAAAGTGAAAATTAAATTTATCGGATTTTTCCATGAATCCGAAAGTTAATTGAAAATCGTGATCGATCTCTGAATAAATGAATTATGGAGATAACGAACAGTAGTCAACTTTAAAGACCATAAAATCAATACAAATCGGGAGCAGAGCAAATACGAACCTCCAAAAACATCAGAGGTGGGATCAGGTGCCATGGAGGAGTGAGAATCCCCTGCCAATCATATGGTAAATATATAAACTACTGCAAAACTGGTACTGTTCTGTTTTTATTTTAGATTGGAATTGTCATTAGGCTCGTGTATTTCAATATACATACATACATACATACATACATACATACATACATACATACATACATACACACACACACACACACATACGTGTACAACCGCAATTCTCACTACACGAGGTTTTACACCTGAAAGTCACTACACTATGTTCCAGCAATGCTAACAAGATAAACAGACCATAACTGTGATTCTATGGGTCTTTGTATATGCAAATGAGGTTCAGAAAGATGAAAATTCAAATAATGAAAAAATGATTTTTCACCTAAAAGTCACTACATTTGGTCACGTGATTTTGCTCAATCACACACCGGAAGTTGACAAGTCACTACATGGCTTTACCAGGACACACACAGGAAACTCAGTACATAAACACTCTTGTAAGATATTATACAAGAAAATCACTACATTCAGTAAATTTTGAATGCGTTTCCCGTAAAAACACCAATTTTTCCAAAAAATTGTCGAAAATACATGACAATGTCTGCATGAAATCTGTATGCTATAGAAAAAAAAAATTGTCAAAGGATATCCGATAAAGTTAAAAGATAAAAAATTGGCTTTCAACATCTGTATATAGATTAAAATAAAGCAAATGAAATGAGAAGAATAAATTAACAGTCATGACAAAGATTTAAAAGTATTAACGGCCAGGCACGTAACATCGTTTTTGAAAGTCGGGGGGGGGGGGGGGGCAGAAAATACAACTTAATACCCGAAAATCTTTGGCAAGCAAGAGAAATAGGTTTACTTCAAAAAGTCGAAAATCCTATTGGTGGGTTGAACTTTTGTGAACCCTCCAAAAAATTTCTTTACAATAAAATGACCGCATTTAAATACAGAACAAAACAGTGTGTGTATGGGGGGGGGGTTAATAAACACTTTCACAGTAAATTAAAAATAAAACTTTTAAGTTTGAAAAAAGGAGGGGCCAAGCTACCCCTCCCCTCTGCTTTTACGTCGCTGACGGCAATGAATTGCCGAGTGTGCGTTGATTCAAGACTTGCTTCGTCAAGAATATTCGTTTTGGGTTTTTTTTTTCTGTTGCATTGAGTAAGACAAGTAGAAATTGAAAATCGTTCCCCAATTTTAATTGCAATCATTATGTTTTTTATGATCTTAAAGAGTTTATTTTTTTCTTAACAAGAATTTTATAGGATTACAAATTACTTAACTACTGTTCATGTAATAACATCTCGTTCTTTTTTATGTGGATGACACCACAACCAGCATTCAAAGGAAAATTTACAATAGTAATATAGTATATTCAGAAAAGGGGGGGGGGGTAGCCTCCGCGTTCTACGGACCTGAAATAAGGGGAAAAATAATGATCCCTCTTATTTATTCTTGCAATTTAATGACTTCAAAAAACTGAAATTACTTTGGTGGGGAAAGTCTACTTCATTGTTTTTTTATGCATAACATTCTATCATTTCATTTTCCAATTCAGCATTTAAAAATCCCATTGCTCAGATATGTTGGTCTCTAAAACCATGATTTTTTACGAAATGCAGTTCATACAGCACCCTTTAGTTTTCTTATCCCTTTGCTCAAATGTTTTACAACATTTTGAAAGATCAAACAAAAAAGACGGTTTGTTTGCATGAAACAATTTAATTGCATCAACTATACAAAAAAGTACATAAAAAGAATGCTGACATGAAATAAGATACACATGTATAAGCCAAGTGTTAATAGATAATTCTTGCTGTTAATTTTTAAGGTATCCAAAATAAGTTTATTTTCACAGAACAACCAAGGACAATCAGTCAGTATTTGTGCAAAATATAGTGGCATTTTCTTAGTGCATTAAACAACATACAAGTTTTGAAATAAAAAAAACTCTTTAAGCTTAAAGCTGAAAACCAAGCAAGAAATATAAATATCACGCAGTTAATAACTTCCTGTGTTTAAAATGCAACAAAAGGCCCTAGGCTATGACTATTACCTGAGTATTATGAATTTCTCAGGCTGTGGTCATTTCAAAACCGCCTGGATCTAGAAATCTAGACCCATGCAACAAAAATCGTAAATTTTCACAAGAATTCTATATTTATTATCATATTGATGCAGCTGAACTCCTAGAAGTTCAAAAGTAAAGATGATAAGGTATACTGGCTAATACTGTATAAAACATTCTAATTTATGACTAACTCTGCCTTTTCATGGGCCTGAAACATGAAGAAGCCTTCAATTAGAGGGCTAAGCATTAATTAAGATTAATTTTAGAGGTCCATGTTTGCTTTGCTACGAATATGGATTATTCTAATGGACTTTTGAGTTTGATTACTATTCATAATCTTCATATTTAATTTTATGCCTGCTAGTTTGCCTGCTAGATGTTCACCAGTAAAGGATTTTTTAAAACTTCAATTTACAGCCCATAGCAAGGGTTTCAAAAGTAGGGGGGACTTCAAAAAATATCTGACAAGCAAAAAAAAAACATTATTTACTGAACTGACCTTATTGCAACAAAAAGGGGGGGGAGGAGCAACCAGGATATAAAGGATACTTTACTATAGCAAAATACTATACTCAGAAAAAGTGGGGGGGGGGGGGGTTCTATGGGCCTGTTGCAGTGTCAATATAAATAGGTAAACCTTGCATGAACAATGGGTCATGAGCGATAAATTTCACAAATTTTGGTTAAAAAATAATTACTTGCTTAAATTATGCAAACAGCTGTCTGCTACATGTCCATGAAAAAAAAATTTATAGGATATATTTTTTCAATATTCAGCTCCATCCTGAACCTATATGCAAAAATGAATCTCACAATTTTTTGTACTTAAAGAGCTATGGGCTTATATGATATGCATACTATCAACTGCCTGCTGGCAAAACTTCTCACAAAAGAGACATGAATGTTTTTTATTATCATAGTTTCCAGACGATGTTTTTGGCCTCTAAAAACCTGGTCTTTTGCTTCTCTGACTGTGGTAAAACTTTGCCGACATCATCATGATCATCTTCACATTCACTGTCCTTTTCGCTGTCACTTGCAAGTGCAGCTTGTTTCTGCTGCATTTCAGATTTGAGAGGCTTACTGGGCATATCTGAAATTATTATATATGTACATGTATTGACAAAAGGGATTCATCTTTATTTTTATAGAAGAGGCCAATGGGCCACATGGCTCACCCAAGTCACAATGGCCCTGCACATTTCCCCCCTATATATCCCTATGTAAAGCTTTGATTGCCTATTATGGCCTCATCTTACCCATTCAAACCTAATGAAGAGGTATGAAAGTTGTTTTTCCATACTTCAATCTGTTAGGCATGATTGAAACACTCTATGTAAGCTCCTTATGGAGATATTTATAATTTATAATGCTGGCTAATGAACATCATGTTAATGTAATGCAAAGGAAAGTAATTTATTTAAAATGAATTTTGTCAATTTATCAGACTGTGATCATGTCTGGAGAAAAAAAACAACTTATGGAATTAATCCTTAACTGTAATAAAGAAACAGTCATACTTAAAATTCAAGACAGAAATTCTGCCAGAATTTTAATTCACTTTAAACAATCTACATATTGTACAATGTAATACATAGCACCTTATACAAGAGGCCCATGGTCCATGACACCTGAGCCCTTTTGCAAGAGAAAAGCAGAAATCAGTTCAGTATTGGAAAGTTTGAGTAATTATACAATTGGTGCCACCCTATGCCCTGTGGGTGATGATTTGAACAAACCTGAAACTACTTCTCCCATCCTACCCCTTGATGTTATGATTTGAATAAATTTGAATGTACACTACCTGAAAAATACTCCTGTATTAATATAACAAATCATGGCTTTGTTGTTCTTGAGAAGAAGGCCTTTAAAGACATTTTCTATATAATTCCATGTAAAAGTCTTATGCCCCATTGTGTCCCCACCCTTCTGCCAGGGGTCATTTGTTGATAAAACTTCAAGCTACATTACCTGAGAATGCTTCTGTATTAATATGACTTGTCATGGCTTTGCTGTTCTGGAGAATAATTTTTCTGGCCCACTCAGACCTGTTTAACTTTTCTAACTGATGTCAGTATTCTAGAAGTTGTCAGTATTTTGAGCAGTTTGTCAGTAAAAATGCAACTCAGCTTATTAGACATTTTTATATGAAGAACCCCTTGTTATACAAATACTAAGCACTAACTACGCAAGTCACCATATGCTGTCTACTTTTGCTTACATATTTTACATTTGCCGTAATTATATTGTTTTTAGATCATTTTTGATAAGACCACTTCAATCAACAAGCTTCTTTATCAAACTGATTGGCAAATTTCGGGAACGACTCTGATTTTTTCCGTCTTTAGGGAAAATCTGTATATTTTAAACGTGAATCTGTAGAGCACTTTTTTACTCGAAGATTCATGGAAAATACTAAAAAGCTGTACAAGTAAACAACTCTGCCCATTGTTTCTGGAGAAAATTTTTTTAAAGATGCCATCAAATTTGCACTTATTTTTGATTATATCCCCTTAAAATAGGGTGATGCCTTTCATGTGAACAAACTTGAATCCCCCACCGAAGAATACTTTGTGGCAAGTTTGGTTGAAATTGACACAGTGGTTCTTGAGAAGGAGCTGAAAATTTGAAGCAACAGTGACGCTGGAGATCGACAATGGACAAACTTTGATCAGAAAAGCTTACTTGAGCTTAAGAAAGTTCTGTTTTCAGCTTTATTACCAAGATCATTAATGGTATCTTCATCACAGCTTTTTTCATCGCTTGAAGGATGGTATGATTCATCATCATAACCATCATCATACTCGTCTGCTTCATCACTTAAAAGTGGCCCTGTATCATGTCCTATTTAAAATTCTAAAAAAGAAATTATCATTTTAAGACTGTTCATTTTTATGGGGTTAACTTTTAATTTGTAACATCGAAACAACATCATAAATATAGATTACCATTCTCATTGACAACATCATGACTGCTGCTTTCATTTACAAATGATTGGTGTGATTCCTCATCCTGCCCAATTGCAAAAGACTCTGTCAAAACATTCAAATTAGATATTAAATTGGAAAATAACACTTTTCTTAAAAAGTAAGATTCAAATTTATGAATACAATAGGGGTTATCTATTTTTTTCTTTTTGCCTTTACTATGCATGCAAAGAAGAGTCCCATGGGCTACAACATTTCCCATGTAAAAGAAGCTTTTCTTAATGTTTATAAAGAGTTTTTCTCCTTAATTTTCTCATGCAAAATTGTGAACTCATATTATGACCCTATCCTAACTCTAAAGGGTCTCTGAATCCACTATCCCCCCCCCCCCTCCTTCCTTCCTCCCTTTGGCCATGATTTGAACAAAAAGGAAGCTACAAGAAGGTTTAAAAATACTTTTTGTGGTCCAGTTGTTCTTAAGAGGATTCGTAAAGATTTTAACCAGTACATAAATGTATGTATATATTTCAAGGTAAATCTTTGATCCCCTATTGTGGCCCCATCTACCTCAAAGGCCATTTTTTGAACAATTTAAAATCTTTATTACATCAGGAAGCTTTCACATAAATTTCAGCTCCTGACCAGTAAAGTGAGAGTATTATGGGCTTTGAGAAGAAAATACACATTATGGTTTAATTTGACCTCCAAATCTTTTTTCTAGTACCATAATAGTGTACGATACATTTATTAACTTGACAACATACCAATCTTCTCCTGGATTTTGTATGCTGGTGAGCACAGACTGGGCTCACAGTTTCCAGCAAAGTTATCAGCTGTAACTCTAAACTCCCACTCTGAGTCCTGAGGAAGATCGGTGACAGTAAAGAGGGGTCAGTGCAGGGGTACTCATTTCTCTGTTCCCTTAAACCTCTCTTCTACAAGGTAGTCTACAAAGATAATCAATATTATCAACTGCTACAGTGTTTATGTGGTTTTGAACAGAGATCAACATTTCCCTTTTTCTTTTTTTATTCTACTTTTAAATTAGTACCTGTAATTTTACAGCCACCATTATGTTTAGGTGGTTCCCATTTCAGAAAAAGTTAGAGAATTGTTGACAGCCTCTGGTACACCAGGTGGCAAAACCTTGGCTAAAATAAAAGTTTAAAAACGTGAAAGAAAAAATAATTGAAAATAATGTACAATATGGTAATTGTTTTTTAAAATGTTATAATTTTTTTCAAATATACTTACTGTATTTGGGCTTGGGAGTTATGGGACCAATCACATCACTAGACTCACTAATTTGAAAACCTTCAAGATTCTTGGCCTGTATGTGGAAGTTGTATTCCTTGTCCTTTTTTAATCCCTTCACTGATGAAAAAACTCTCAAATTCAAGTTTTGTAAACAAAACAAATTTCAAGAATCACTTTTGTAAAACATCTTTTCACAGTTTTCAGCCATAATATACTAATTACATGCAACAAAAGGACATGTAAATCCACTTACTAGTTCATAAGAAAGATACATGTGTCAACAAGTAATCAGTTACTCACCCTCATAAACACACTCATCTACTGGGTAGTCATTAGCCTGCCTCAAGTGGTGGGGTCTTCGTATTCTATGACATATCCTATAATCTTCTTAAAACCATCATTTCTTGGTTTGGTCCAAGAGAGAGATTGACAAAATCTTCATCAATGTCGAAAACACTTGGATGTCCAGGAGGATCACAACAAGCTGAGGGAAACATTTAATATTTTCAAAATTTTTCAACCCAGTTCATCATGCAAGCACAAAGACATTCTTTTAATTGTATACACCAATCAATGCTCGAATCTTAACATATCCCTTCATATTGAAACGAAGTCTTAAAGTTTGGAATTCATTTGATATCTAACAATTCATGTTCAACAGAATTATTACTTCACTTCAGCTTAGCTTCAGGGGAGAGATCAAAATTCATACACATCTACAAAAACTAATCAATCACCTGAAAATGAATTTCTTTGGCTACCACTTAAATATTTAGATGACTTGCAAAATAAAGTGGACAGACAGGACAGTATATATAGCTTGAACGAATAGGGATATACTAAAATACTTAACTAAATGTGCATTCTCAACCAAATTTGTGCACAGTGCACTATTTAAAGAATGTCCATACAAAGTAGTCAAACATGTCAAAATACCAATCCCAAAGATCTTGAACTTAGCATTTTACAATTTTTTCCTCATAAAAATAGACGAATTCAAAATTTGATGAAAAATATTAATGCTCTCAAACTAGGAATAATTAACATTTTTGGTGGAATGGCTCTGTTCAATGGTACCAGTTATGGAAGAAAAAAAAATGCTGCTGTTTGTTCTTTATCACAAAATACATTGTATTTAAAAAAAAAATTCCATTTCTTTTTTATTTTAAACATTTTTTCCTTTATATTCCCACAAAAAACTTTAATCCACTATTGTTGTGCCACTCTACGGGTACCTCTAGGAACCATGATTGGGAAAAAAATTGTACAGCACTTTCTGAGGATAACAGCTAGGACATTAATATCACTAATCAATGTCCTGTTGTGACATACATTCCAATGAAAAACTTCAATCCTTCATTGTAGCCCTATCCTACCCCACTGTAGATGCACTTCATTTATTTATTTTTAATTACAAAAAGACAATTGAACAAACTACCATGTTATGACCGCATCTTATTATGACATTTTTTTTTATATGTTGATGTAAAAAAAATATTGATTCCATACTGGTTCCACCTACCCCATTAAGTCAGATTTGAACATGCAAACTTGAATCTATACCATGTCAGGACACTTCCACATAAGTTTCAATGGTTTATAAAAAGGAGACTTTTATATGAATCAAATTTTCACTGTTTCATAGCTACTTCTCCTTGAAAAGTTGGTCACCATTCATTTAAACAAATTAAAATTGCTAAGTGGTTCTCCAGAAGAAGTAAAATGCTCCTGAGCTTTTGAGTAGATTTTTGTCTTAACCTATATTTCCACTTTTGCATAATGTTTTAGTTCTTACAATAAATTTGGATTCTACAATACCAATTAAAATATATTCAGTTAAAACTCCATGATTAAATTCCATACCAAAAGCATTAAGTGAGGAACTACTGTATGTGTACTTAAAAAAGCAGGCTTCATATTTTAGGGGGCCCTTGGTGCAGACAACAATGCCCTAATTCATGAATACCACTAAGAAATCATTTATAAATACAATATATGGTAGGGCTGGGACGATATATCGAGATATCGATAATATCGATTCAATGTGAGGATGATACGCATATCGATACGTATGAAGAAATATCGACATATCGCCCAAAAAATTCTGACTTGTGTTTTTCTTTGTTTACTTAACATTTTGGGTTAAATATATAAAATAAATATGCTTAATATAAATATAAATATGAAATACATAATAATTAAGACCACTTGTGCAAAATAATTAAGTTTTACAACAGATATGCAACTTCTTTGAATAAATTATTCTTATTTGTGAAGAAATGTTTTGTTCATTTCAATATAAAAAAAGAATTTATAACCAATTAAACATATCGTGATACATATCGTATCGTGGCTCAAATATCGGGATACGTATCGATATAGAAAAAGTTGTATCGTCCCAGCCCTAATATATGGTACAGACATTTAGAGCGCTAATTCATGATGTCGCCAACACCTCAAAACCCAGTGATTTCGCTAAATTTTGAATACACTATTTTATGGACACATACAGTATATTTTGTGGCGGAAGGTTTTTTTTAGAAGAAAATGATCATTTCTTTCTCTTTCAAAGTATTTAAAGTATGCTAAGTTTGGATTCCTATTTTTCCATGCAACCTACACACAGAGTTATTCTGAGCCATGAATTGTTTTATGCTGGTCCTAAATTATATATCAAATAAAATATCATGAATTCTATCATTATATTTGATAAGTATAGCAAATATATTGTGAAAATCCAGAAAAAAATTAAATTAAGCTTAAAATTAGCACTATTTTGGTAATATCTAAAAATTAACATCACAGACCCCCACTTTTAATTTTCTTTTCTGAATATATAAAATACTTTTAACCATTCTTCTTAAATTCAGTAAAATGTCATTACTTTCAAGATATTTTATTGCTTGGTAAATTTTTTAATGCCAGAAAAATATTTTCTGAGTGCAAAAAGGTCAAATAATTGAACTTGCGAAGTAATTTGAAAATTTTTTGTTGTCACAAATTTTAATACACCTATATATTCAAGGTGAAATAAGACTGTGTTTGTTCCCATAATTTATTTGAAAAAAATATTGGAGGAAAAACTTTAAAAATTGATTTCTGTGTAAGACGTATTTACAGTGCAAAAAAGTCAAACTAAATGCTCAATAGCGCCAAGAGAAGCACATTAACCCCTATTTTTTGTTTTGATTTTTAATTAAGCTAGGTGTGTAGATTCTAAAAATATACTTGATAAAAGATTCTCATTACTTTTGAATTTAAAATTTCAAAATTATGCTTTGTAAAGTAGAAATCTGGTGTCTGATTATAATCGATAACATTGAAACACTAGAAGCTGATTCCAAACATTGATCGAAAATGAAAATAAACCAATGCAAGGAAACTCACAACATCTGTGTGATAAATGTATACAGACAGGGAAACTCACTACATGTGGGTAAATAATGCACTCTGGCAAGGAAACTCACTACATGTGTGTTAATAATGTACTCTGGCATGGAAACTCACTACATGTGTGTAAATAATGTACTCTGGCAAGGAAACTTACTACATGTGTGCAAATAATGTACTCTGGCAAGGAAACTCACTACATGTGTATGATAATTTTAAACAGACAAGGAAACTCACTACGTGTGTGTAAATAATATACTCTGGCAAGGAAACTCACTACATATGTGTAAATAATGTACTCTGGCAAGGAAACTCACTACATGAGTGTAAATAATTTACCCTGGCAAGGAAACTCACTACATGTGTGCAAATAATGTACTTTGGCAAGGAAACTCACTACATCTGTGTAAATAATTTACTCTGGCAAGGAAACTCACTACATGTGTGTGATAATTTTAAACAGACAAGGAAACTCACTACATCTGTGTAAATAATATACTCTGGCAAGGAAACTCACTACATATGTGTAAATAATGTACTCTGGCAAGGAAACTCACTACATGTGTGTGTAAATAATATACTCTGGGAAGGAAAATCACTACGTGTGCAATTACTGTCCTCTGACACGGAAATTCACTACATCTGCGTGATAAATTTTAAAGTTAAAGATAGAAACTCAAAACGTCGACACAAATACTGAGGTATGTGACTAATGCAGAGATTATTAGATACTGTACGTAGCATGAAAAAAATTGCTGGCTTCACATCAATGTTGCTATGGAATGAAGGAAAAAAATATACTACATGTTTCGTCTTTGATGAAAAAAGAAAAAAAAAAAATAAAAAAGATAGAAATAATGTTATATTGTAATATATTTCAATACAAAATTTAATATTGCAATGTATCCAAGGTATTGTAATAGGATTTTTAATTTGCAATACCTAGCACTTAACTATGAACACAATGAGTGATTTGGCAATGTTAAAACAAACTACATTTCCTTTGCAGTAAATTCATCATCAACTTGTTCCTACTATGGATAAATTATATATGGCTCAACTAGTATTATAAACAATGAAAGTATATCCCTGAATAGAAAATAGCAAAATTTATATTTTTTTCCCTAAAAATGTATGTCTGTAACATGAATATATTTCATTCAGAATGAAAGTAATAATAAAGAAATAATCCTTGAAATATTATGTTTTTTACGTTATGTCAAAAATCTTGACGCGAGCCCATTGCAGAGGTTTGAGAGAGGAACGAACGACTACTCTGCATAGGAGATTGGTAAACAGCAACCCCCCCCCCCCCCCCCCCCCGCCAAACAAACAAACAAACAAAACAAAAAACATGATATAATATCTAATCATAATATTTAACCTCCTGGGGTAGTGAACTCTATAAAACATGTTTAGTAGACTTATCTATAATGCATATCATAGAAGAAATATGGAATCAAAATAATCATCCCAAATTAAACATACATGTATTAACCATTAGAGAGAATCTAGGTAATATGTCACTCCAGTTTGTTTACTTTGTACCCCATTGGTTTTTCTGAGTTGAAATCATGTTTTTATTTCAAAATGAAATGCCATTTCACATTCTTTTGACATATAATTCAGTCTGTCTTTAATTTGATGAAGCTTTTAAATTGGATTTGCATCTCATAAGAATCCTACAATTTATTCTCAAATACAAATCAATCAGTGTTTTGGAAAATCCTTAAGTAAAAGCAAGAGGCCACTCAATCTCATTCATAACAGTATGTCACTTCTTTTCATATCCATGCTCAATACATTTCACTCTGATTCTTATTCTTCATAATTTCAATACTTTTCCGATGCTTCATTGTGTTAGCAATGTATACCAGTTCTTCTTACTTTTATACTAATTCCAGTTCTTAACTACTGTAACATTATTTTTAAATTTGCAAATTAAATCTCTGTTACATATATCAATTTAAATATTTTTGTTGTAGGCAACCAAGAATTCAAGTAATGTGAGAAAAACAAAATGCCAGTAATATGTCTTCAATTATGTCATAAAAATGACTGTGGCCATCCGAACCGAGCAGCATCCAATCTTATAATTATGTGTTGATACTTATAAGTGTTGTCAAATCGGACAATTTTTAGTAACCGGTTACTCGCTTACTTTTCTGATCAAGTAAACGGTTACACGGATGGATTTTTTTTTAGACCTTTAAACATCCTTGCTCATGGTATGTATTCAATAATAACTGTAATATATGTAACGTCATTACAATTTCCATGTTTAACATTTACATACTGGCCAATATCAAACGCAAATGCACTGTAGATGCATTTCATTTATTTATTTTTAATTACACAAAGACAAATTAAAGCTTCTAAATGAATTTGTTCTTGAATATCCTGTAATAGTTGGCAATTTTTGCGGATGTCCTAAATATAAACTTACTTTAGTTTTGTTTCTGTGTATGTTAATTTCATTTTACATATTTTACACCTTTCGGATTTAAATTCTTTTAAAACATTTCGGAATCTATGCTTTTGATGGCTGTGGAGGCATCTTGTTTAAAATTAATCCTGTACTGTGGACTAGCACAGTATAAGTGAGGTAATTATAATTAACCCAGGTTTTCTACATTGTATACTGCTTGGCAATCAAAGCCATCGATTAGATAAACTGTGAAAACTAAGTGTTATCAAAACAAATCGGTCATGTTTGTGAAACGCTAGATCAAGTCTAACGTTAAATAACGGTAAATAAAATGGTAGAGGTGTACATTCATTTCTGAACAAAATAACATTTCTTTTCTACTTTTGTCTATATATCCGAGTAACTGAGTAGCAGTTTTACTATCTGATACTCGCATTGTTTGCTGATTAACCGGTTAACCAGGTACTCGTTGACAACACTAGTAGAAATGGTTAAAATGGCATCACACAAAATAAAGATAAATTAATTATTCAAACAACAGGGAGTAATACAGTAAAACATGCTTACAATAGCAAAGAGCTGGGGACCAAAATATTTAATTCTTTATAAACATAAACTTTCCATTTACAACACTTTTAAATCTATGGGGAAGGAAATCACTTCAATGTAAGCATATTAGGGCTGGGACGATACAACTTTTTCTATATCGATACGTATCCCGATATTTGAGCCACGATACGATATGTATCACGATATGTTTAATTGGTTATAAATTCTTTTTTTATATTGAAATGAACAAAACATTTCTTCACAAATAAGAATAATTTATTCAAAGAAGTTGCATATCTGTTGTAAAACTTAATTATTTTGCACAAGTGGTCTTAATTATTATGTATTTCATATTTATATTTATATTAAGCATATTTATTTTATATATTAAACCCAAAATGTTAAGTAAACAAAGAAAAACACAAGTCAGAATTTTTTGGGCGATATGTCGATATTTCTTCATACGTATCGATATGCGTATCATCCTCACATTGAATCGATATTATCGATATCTCGATATATCGTCCCAGCCCTAAAGCATATAAATTCATTTTAAGCATGTTTGCTATAACAATGTTCTGGCTGATTGATTTGAAAATTTTATAAATGGTTCTTCAATGATGTGCACAATTTAGGAGACACTGCAACAAATGGAAGCTAGACCACTGCTCCTTGATGAAAATATATCCTTGTTCGTAACCTTATTATAAATCTAGCTTAATAGTCAGACTGGGTGAAGCCTATCTTTATGAAGTATTGATACTGATGGTGGCATTACATAAAATCAAAGGCCTGAAGGCCTGAGAGATGCATCGCACTGAATGTAGAAAACTCAAATTTTTTTACTCAGAAAAATTCGACATACATCTTGAGGGAACGAAAAAAAATCAGGAATAAAAATAAAAATTAAAAATATCATTTCTTTAAGGTTAAAAAAAGATTTTGAGTCGTGGCATTTTTTTAGTCGGTCGGAAGAGGGCAAACAAACATTTTTTTAAAGATAGTCTGATATATCAATTATAATTCATTGATATTTAAATTAATCTATAATTGATTTTAATTATACTTTTATTTTTTTTTATTCTTTCATTATAAACATAGTAGAAAGATGAAATAATGAACAAGAATTTAGAAATGAATGATTATTGAATAATTCTATATAATTTCATATCTGAATTTTTTCCGTTTCTTTCATTATGAGCATTTTTTTTTTAAATATCAATACTTTGTCTTAGACTAGTTTTATCAATCAAAATGACATAATACGTAAACCATAGTGGGATACATGAAATGTTCATATAATTCGGACTGAAAAAAAAACAATCGGGAGTGGTATACGGTATACTATGAAACACGTTTCTTCCGATATTTTCGATAAAATTAACTCAAAAAGTCTTTGTTTATACGGTATTAGTAAACCTATAAATTGAAATCCACTGTCATTGCAATTTTTTATCAGATATTTTATCATACTCAACTGACATTTTACCAAAAACCGATCATTTCACCGTTTCGTGTCACCCTTCCTCGTGGAATTTTTTTCCCAAAACAGTCTAGACGAACTCCAAAAACAGCTTTGCTTTTCCGGAAGTAAGAAATTGAGACTGAAAAAGACTTCGAAAATAGAGTCCGCGCATGCGCACACGCACAAAAAATAGCGATTTTTTGGCAAAAATGATGGGTCTACAAAAACTTGTAACTGTTAAAAACTTGACTGAATTTTACACATATATTAGCATTCCAGTATTTTTATTTGTGTACGACATCTGAATTGAACGCGTAAGTTCTTACCATGGTTATTTACCGATTTTTTTTTATCACATACCAACATATATTATTATGAAAACATTTTTAAAACTATTAGCTATCAAAATGAAATCTTTAAAAACCACTCTTCTAGAAATTAAGGTCACAACATGTCTTCTAAATATAAACCTGTGAATATCTCTGCTCCGTAGTGAAAAATGCGCATTTTCTAATTAAAATACATACAAGCTGGGTGTCTTCAAAAACAAGTAAAAGCACCTAGATATCGTAGGAACAACATAAAATTTAAATCAAGGAGACAATAAATCAAATAAGAAAATAATTCTTACCGGCAGTATTGAATTCGATGTCGTATAATCCAATTTACTACTATGCAAGAGTTTGAAGCAATAAATAAGTCAATATCCACAAAATAATTTCATAAATATAATTATCCATTCAACAAAAATTAAAGTAAAGTCACAATGCACTAAATACTGCCATTATGCAGCCGTATATTTGAAGAAAGCGAACGACAATCCATCGTTTGTTTACATCGGACGCCATTTTGCCGCAATGCATGATGGAGCCAAAGACTTCGTTTTCGGAGTTCACGCCGTTTTTAGAGTTCGTCTTGACTGCGAAAGGTGGCCCTTGTTGCAAAAATTTATTCAGTTGAACATCTTACTATTCGTTTCATCAAGTGAAAAAATAAATTAATGATTTCCCTTCTATTTCTATAAAAACAACCATCTTGTTCCTACTGTTAGTGATGTTTTATAAAATAAAATTATTGTATATTTTTCTCAGATATTCGTACAAGTAATGTCGTATTACAAGGCCTAATAATTTATGGCAAGAGCTGTTGCGATGTAAATAGATCTTACTCCACGTAGCACATGTTTGTTTGTTGTTGTTTTCTCTCTTTCTCTATTTTTGTTTTGTTTTGTAATTGTTTCTTTTTTGTTATCTTTGTTGCTTTCAAAGTATAAACAACATATATATGTGAGATTTTATGTTATTTGGTATTTAAAATAGACAATGAATATCACCAACTTGTCAATATACATTTGCTCTATTTTCAATGGCGTATTTAGAATCAATATTGTGGAGTCCTTTGTCGCCGCAGTAATTGAAAAAAAGAAATGGGGGTCGACTGCAATGAGGCCACATCGCTGTTAGGGATGCGCCTCAAAAAATAGTTTGTGTCCAAAAACATGTGAATAAACATGATAAATATTAAATCCCTCTTTATGACATTATGATATCATGAAATTAGCTTAACAGAAGACTGGGTAGTGCAACTTGTATAATTATATTTATATATATTACCTGAATTAATCTCATCATCATCATCACTGTCAAATGAATTTCCATTGAATTCCCAACTAAAAGGGTCCGATTCCACTTCCACATCTGAGCTAGCCATTTGGATGTCTAAAACATCAAAGCATTTAGATTCAACATCACCTTTTAAAAATTAAAACTGTCTTCAAACAAGAGGCCCATGGGCCACGATGCTCACTTTGGTCAAATAGGTTCAATAAAAGACTTACTTATAGACACAAAATATTACAAAAAAATTTATCAATTCAGATTCTGAGATCTTATTTTCCAGGTATAAGTCTTCTGCTAAATATGTCTTTGTGTGACATCATATTGTAACTAGGGGATTGCTCTAAAATCAGCCCCAGTATTTCCAATTTGTTTAAACATCATTTATGTTAAAAATTATACAAAAAATATTTTTTGGAAAAAATATACAAACTTAAATTTAAATACAGATCAATCTGGATTTTAACTTTTTTGCACAAAACTATAAATTAAGAGCATATAAAATTATAATCATGTAATGAAAAAATATGAAATTCAAGCAATATTATCATTCTTTCTACATCCATCCACTTTACAAAACAAAACCACAGATGTTGAGAGTAAATAAATAATATAAACTTACTTTTATAGTCTGATATAAATTTGATCTCAAAACCTTTCTGGTCAAAGCCAGCCTGGCAGTAAAAATCTGCTTCTGACGAAGGTGACATTCGTCTTCTCTGAAAATAGATGTGATCAGGGAATACATAAGCTTTAATTCATAACATACTATATAAATGGTGCCTGTTTTGGAGGGTAACAAATGAAATTGACACCCTTTTGAAAACCATTGTTAACATTTTGTTTTGTCATTGAAATGATCCCTCCTGAAATATTTTATCGACCAAATATTAGAAGATTTTTTTTAAATTTTAATCAATTCTTTGCCTGTAATCAAATGACCACCAAAACTTGTGTTGGATCTAAGGGAAAACAAGTTTCTTGGTTGACTAGTGATTCTTTTTACAAAAAAGTTAACTGTTTATTGATTTTTTTTTAAAACATATAAACATAGGTAATCAAAGATTACAAAGCTCAATGAATGGTACATGTGTTATCTATAAGTAAGGTAAATCAAGGTTGTACCAAGGTTGTACCAGGTTGTAGGTTGTAAGGTTGTACCAATTTTGTGTGAGATCAATTATCAATGCAAGTTTGGTTAAAGTAGGACTTATAGTTGCATGGGAATAGACCTGCTCCAAAAACTTTAAACTTAAACTGTTTACTCATAAAGAAAATGTAGGTCAGTTCCAGCATCCATAGCATGTCTGGTAGTGTCCATCCCTAGTTTCGTCATCCATGCAAGTTTAGTCATAACATGTCATATAGTGATAGAGCTACTCCAAAGACATTACTCTGGTCACATATCTGAAAAATGTAGGTCAGATTCAGCATCAAAAGCAAGTCTTCTTGTGTCCATCTTTAGATACATCATTCCATGCTAGTTTGGTTCTGGTAAGGCTAATAATTACTCATCTGGAAAATAAAGGTTAGATCCAGCATCCAAAGCAAGTCTGGTAGTGTCCATCCCTAGGTGCATCCTCCATGCAACTTTGGTTCAGGTAGGGCTTAGTTGCTTGGAAATGCATGGACTTGCTCCAAAAACTTTAACCTGGTCACTCATCTAGAAAAATTTAGGTCAGATCCAGTATCTGAAGCAAGTCTAGTATTGTCCATCCCTAGATGCATCATCCATGTAAGTTGGGTCCAGGTATGGCTTATAGTTACTTGGGAATGGACTTGCTCCTAAAACTTTAACCGGGATGCCGACACAAACGAAAATCAATAATTATGATTTGCCATCTAAATCACATGTTCAATTTCAAGTGTGATTTACAACATTTTCATAATTTTATTCGGTAAACAAATAAAAAAAATTACAAATTCATTTTTAATGGACCCAAATTATAGCTTGTATAGCCACTGTATTAGTGTAAAATGTGCACTGTGCCATTTGGCTGACCCCACAAAATGCAAGAAAGCCTGATTTTCTAGTTTGTAAGTTCATTGCAGTCTGCACTCTTGGTATTCATCATCGAAATTAAATGATATCCATGATGTATCATATAACAAGAGGCCCAAGGGCCTTAACGGTCACGTGAGTATAAAACAATAATCCATAGAAGATCCATAGAGTATAAAATAAACTGATAGAACCTTAATTTGTTGCCCAAAAGCAAGAAAAATAGGATGATCATGATCTTTGAAATAATTAGTCTAATATTCAGTAACAACTTATAAATTAAGTTCTAATCTGTCCCCCATTTAGATTTTTTTCCTATAAGTTTTATTTTCTAATATGCCCCCACCCTACCCCCGAGGGTCATAATTTGAATAATCTTGAATCTACACTACTGTAAAACACTTTTTATTCACAAGAACTTTATTTTTGCGTAATTACGTAAGACAGTGTGCTCGTGAAAATTTCATTCTCACTTATCTTAGTATTCCTAAAGATTATATACAGCAAACACATTTCGTGAATATTCTGTCTCACTAATGAGGAGTCAGTGACTATCTCGCGAAAATGAAGTGTCCCGAAAATTTAGTGATCTACAGCACCTGAAGATGTTTCTGTATTAAAATGACTAATCATGGCTTTGTTGTTCTTGAGAAGAAAATTTTTAAATGATCTTTCATATATATTCCTAACTAAAATTTGATCACATGTTGTGTCCCCTCCCTACCCCAGGGGGTCATGATTTGAACAAATTTGAATTTACATTACCCAAGGATGCTTCCATATAAATAAGACAAATCATGGCTTTGCTATTCTTGAGAAGAAGATTGTTAAAGATTTTTCCTATGTATTCATATGTAAATCTTTGATCATAAATTGTGGCCCCACTCTATATTACCTGAGGATGCTTCCATGTAAATATAACCAATCATGGCTTTGCTGTTCTTGAGAAAATAATTTTTTCAAGATTTTTCCTACGTATTCCAATGTAAAAATTTCATTGTTCATTATGGCCCCACCCTCCCCGGGGATCATCATTTTAAGAAATTTGAATCTACACTACCTGAAGATGTTTCTACATCAGTTTCATCTTTCTTGGCCCAGTGGTTCTGGAGAAGATTTTTCCAATGTATTCCCATGTAAAACTTTGATCTCCCATTGTGACCCGCCCTGCCCCCGGCAGGGGTGTGCAATTACCATTGCCCAACGCTCAGGGCTACCAATTTTAGAGGTTGGGCTATCATAAATCTATACTGCATTAGCCTGTCGGGCTAGTAAATCTGAAACGAAAGTATATGTATATTTACATCGACTGAATTGATGTACGAATTAACTTGTTGTAAAATCATAATCTTTAATTCTTTTCAACATATATGTATTGTGTGTTGCTATCGCCAGTCGTTTCAGTGACTGTCACAATTATATTCAATAAAAATAGGGAGAAGTACCTGACAATAACATAGTGGAAACCATTATTTGTTTTATTTATTTCAACTTAATTTTTTTTTTTTTTTACCTTTTTGTTATACTTATACATGTATTGTTTTCGGTAGTTAATGGGCTAGTGATGATTGTCAACCTCGAGCTAGTAACTTTGTTACTTCCACTAGCCCAGGCTAGTAACTAATTTTTGTAATTGCACACCCCTGCCCAGGGGTCATGATTTGAACAAACTTGAATCTACACTACCTGGGGATGTTTCCACGTAAGTTTTATCTTTCTTGGCCCAGTGGTTCTGGAGAAGAAGATTTTTAAAGATTTTTCCTATGTATTCCTATAATGTAAAACTTTGTTCGTCCATTGTGGCCCCACCCTACCCCTGGGAGTTATGATTTTAACAAACTTGAGTCTACACTACCTGAGGATGTTTCCACATAAATTTCATCTTACCTGGTCCAGTGGTTCTTGAGAAGAAGATTTTTAAAAGATGCCATTAATTTTTCACTAATTCTTAGTTATCTCCCCTTGGAAGACGGTGTGGTGCTTCATTTGAACAAACTTGAATTACCTTTACCCAAGGATACTTTGTTGCAAGTTTGGTTGAAATTGGCCCGGTGGTTCTTGAGAAGAAGTTGAAAATGTAAAAAGTTTACGCAAGACACACACCCGCACGACGACGGATGAAAACAGATACATGTAGCAATAGGTCACCTGAGTGACTCAGGTGACCTAATAAAATCAGAGCCACCAATCAACATATTGACATCCACTGGCTAAGCAACAAACTTTTCCTCTGATGTGGTTCCTAACTCCAAAATATCAAGTCATTTTGCATGGCTGCACCACAGATTTATGAAATTGATGCATATGGAAAATATTACCTTAGGCCATTCCAAGTTTTTTCTATGTTTAGCATCCACCCATCTTTCAAATACTTCCCTACCTATTCGCAAAAAACACACAAACCAAAAAGTAAAACACAAGTCATTATAGCCATAAAAATGATGTCATTCAAAGAATATGATTCCATTAATCTATTTTTCTCGTAGAAATATTTATTCTTCAGCAAAATCAAGGTATTAAATGCTTAAAATATTCCAAATATGGCATATTGTAGACAAATACTTAGAGAAATTGACAGAATTCAGTGAATCGACCAGAATAAACAATTTCAGGACTCTTGATTTTGTTTGTTTGTTTGTTTTTTTTTTTTTGTTAAGGGATGTCAAAAAATCCAAGGCACACGCGGACGCTAAACATTGAAAAAACTTGGAATGGCCTTAAATGTACAATGAAATACCATACTAACAAATTCTAATTAATTATCTAGGCTCGCTCTTTGATCTCTAAAAGTTGGCATTAAAAAATGATTTTGGTTTAAATATATTTTATTCTAAATACTTGCTGTAATAGATGACAAATCTCCATGAAGTTCTAAAAACAGAAAATTTATTTCCACATATCTGTTATCAAGGTGGCAGGGGATAATTTTTCTTTTCAATGCCAAACATGTGCCGAGGGGGTAGGCATATGCATGAGGTCAATAAAAACAGATCATAGTTTGGGGCAGTTTTTTGGGTCCTAATTAATTGCATTTCATATATCTATAGCTCAAAAAATGTGTCAACGTATAACATGTAACCTACATATTAAAGTGCACATGTACCGAAAATGCACTTGGAGGTCTCCAAAGATTTTGGCTTGTTTTTCCAAGATTTGGACTGCTGTCGCACCTATACAGCCCATCCCATTCCCGAGCGAGCAGGATAAAACACCCAGTATTCTGTAGAACAATGCATGCCCTAATGAAAATTCACCAATTGATCTGGGGCCATTCACCTTCCCTCTGAGATGCACACCACGGCTTTTCAGCTGAATTTCCTCTGCGACTGACCAAATGTCTTAGTTTTGCATTTACAACTCTATATATGCTAAGCATCAGAGTGACACCTACATGATGCACATCATTTTTCTCAGCAAGCTCTGCTACACTGCACATGTACATGTATCCCATAATTATTCTATTCATTTTTCTACATAAAATATCACATCAATCAGGGGATATCTCAGTTTTTAAAAAAATTTGACAGCGTGTACTAATCTATAGTATGAAACTATACCCTGCCACCCAATGTCATATGGCCATAGTCAAGTTGTACCCAAGGCAATTCAAATCTTAACATGTTAACATACAAGCATATTATGGTTTTGAGTTGACACAGATAAATGCTGTTTTTATTCTCACGGATCAAAAAGTTCCTTGATAAAATGGTTTGCTTAACGGATAAAAGTTATGTAATTGATCCTAAAAGTTTCCTTTTATTATATTTTGCTAGTTGTAAAGGGGTATATAATAAATTTATCATTATAACAGTAACTTGATCCTGAGACCCATATTACGTCTCGTTGACAGGCGCGGATCATCAGATCAAACTCATTTGATCTGATGATCCATGCATGTCAACTTGACATGATACGGCTCTTCGGATCAAGTTACTATTATAATTATATATATAAACTGGCCTCTGTTCTTCTTTCAGAAAATATCATAGGCTCAATTTCGTTGAGTCAATAATTTGGAATATCCCATAATTATCTCTTAATTTGAATCACTTAAACATGTTAAATCAACACATGCCCCTGATCGGCCGAGAATTGCAAAATTTGGTGGTAATTTGCTTTACATTTAGATTATTTTACAACGTATACTTTAAAATTTATTAAATATCCATTCCAATAAACAAAAAGAACAGATTACATTTATCGGAAAACAAATTTTTTACTGAGAATAAACATAGTTTGAAAAACTTGTAGTGTTTTGGGCGAGTAAACATGGTACTGAAGGAGATGCCTATCCCGTTAGTATATAGATCCCTGACTTAATGCATAGAATAATGATTATACGTTAAAAAAGTGTGTTATAAAATTTGCATTGTCTGTTTATGATACGGAATACAACAGATCTAGGGCCTATAAGTCAAAAAATTTATTTGTTTATTCATTTGAAAATTTTGTTACAATTCCAGGAAATGCAGACATGGCTCTTCTTTATAGTAAAATTCTGCGCCAGATTTTCATTTTGCTCAGTAAAAGTTCACTTCAATTATAATGCCCTGTTCACACGGAGAGTTTAATTCGAATTAAACATAAGTTACTGCAAATTAAATTTGAATCGCATTCGCACAGGGAATTTAATGCGAATTAGTTTAATTCAAATTAATTAACTGCACATTAAATTACTTCGCATTAGCTCCGTGTGAACGCTAAGCGAAGCTAATTCGAATTAAATTTTGACGCATGCGTAATGGCACAATTAAGTCACATGCCACATGTCTGTGGACAGATATGGATACTTATGCTATTTTTTAGTGGAAAACAAAGTAAAATTATGTTAATCACTGAAATGTGCATAGAGACTATGACAGAATGTAATATGGGTTTGCTGCGCATAAGGCAACGTGATTTGAAAATGACATCATAATAGCCTTACTGAATAGCCTTACTGTAGAAATAAAATTTTAATTCCCATTAGTTTACTTCGCATAAGCTGTAGTGTGAACACAATTTAATTTGCATTATTTTAATTCACATTATTTACTTCGCATTAATTTACTGCGAATTAAACTCTCCGTGTGAACAGGGCATAACAATTTAATGCATGTTACTGTCAATCAAAAATTGTTTTAATCAGTAAATCATGATGCAAAAACTAACATAACTTGCAGAAGTCAGCATAAACAACTTCACTAGCGATTCAAGATCCCATTCAAAAAACATTGGTAATGTAATGCAATATCATGCACTCAAGTGTATAATATATAATTTTCTTATCGGTATTGTAAAACAATTGATACCCCATATGAGTTCCACATGGTGAAAAGAAGGACCCTTGACATGACCGACTTGCTAACCATACATGACCTCGGCCACTACGTGGCCTTGGTCAGGTTAATTACAATAATCTAACTGTGTCTTGGGACAGGCCCTCACTACAGTTAGAATCCCTCCCATATACCAATAATATAGCAGAAAATTGCAGAATCGCTCCGAAATGATTTTGGAGAAAATTAATGAAGTTGCATTGAAAATAACAGTCAAATTAATCATAAAAAACCTTTTGAGACTGTAAATACCTTTCATCTAAAAATTTAATCCATATAATGGAAGAATTCAACACTTTTTCACCAACATTTTTTACTCGTTTCAAATTTACACAAGATGTTGACATTCAGAACTCTCGGGATATTTCATAGTAAATGCACAAAGTTAGAGTTATCTCCCGTATTTTCTTTGCTACATAGACAATACACGGAATGCATTCTATTGTTAAACAGGGTCCGTAGGACATTTATCATTTTAATGATAGAACATTCTATCTATGGTCAGGTCAGTTCACCTCGTAGACCAAGTCTTGGGTCCGTATTTCACCATGTTGACCTCAGAAGAGGTAATAAAATGTTATTATTATACCTCTATTAAGAATACTCAAATTTGATTGGCTTTTTAGAAGGCTTTTAAACTCAATAATGACTCCAAAAAGTACCGTTTACAGCAATAATGACCTAGGAATCATTGCACGTGGGGTATAATGACCGGTCAATAAAATTAATGACCGCTAAAAATGACCTGTTAATCCAAATTCCATTCAAATTAAAAAAAAATATGCATACAGTAATGATTGTACATTACAAAAATTGCCGTTATAAAAATATGTATAGTATTTTTAGGATACGGAACACGATTGGCCTTTAGATGCGTCATAACATTTATCGTTTTCATTGAAATTAACTTTCGTTACAATACAATGTCAAATTCAACGAACGCAGACTCGGCTCTCTTGTACAGTAAAAGTCTGCACCAGATTGTCATTGTAGTCGGGAATGGTATCTGTGAATTTATAAAAATGCAATGTTACTGACAATCACAGAGTGTTTTAATAAATCGGCGGTGCAAAAACTTACAAGACTAGCAGTCGAAAAGTAAACAACTTCACTAGCGAATCCCGATCCCGATGGAACACTGACAACAGTTCGTAGGTCTTATACATGTAATTGATTATTTTAGTAATTAAGCTTACAAAAATTGCCTTAACTTATATCGGTATAATAAAACAATTGATTACCCCTTATGAGTTCAACATGGTAAAATAAGGACCCTCGACCTGGCCCACTCGCTGACCTGACCTGACCTCGGCCGCTACGCGGCCTCGGTCAGGTCAGGTCACCTCGTGGGCCAGGTCTCGGGTCCTTATTTTACCATGTTGACCGCATAAGGGGTAATTAATTGTATAATATTGTTAAGTTATGAGTTGTCATCAATTTATATAGGGGAGTCAGCTTGTAACAATTCTCCTGGTTACGAGTTGAATTTTGTCGTTTCATTAATATGAGTTGACCTATTGGGTTTGATCTGATCTACTCAACATGCTAGAGGTTCACGGCGATATACTTTTGACTTGGCGCTCCGAGGTATATAAGGAGCGTAGGGACGTTTAACCGAGGCTCTTACTTGTAGGAGGAGATCTGACCTAGATACGATCATACGAGGCTGGTTACGAGTTGACCAAAAACCCTTAAACAGACACTGTAACTTTTCTGTGTTTCCCAATCCCAAACAAGGATAGACTGTAATGCAGGCCCAACTGTGTTCATTGTACGTGTATAAAAAATGAATAAAACGGGCACTATAAAGATTATCGTTCCGAAAAATTGACACATACAACTGACCTAGTTCGAATTTTCTCAACTAAGTGACAACTTTCCAAAGTTCACAGTACATACGATGAACTTCAAGCATCTTCTAAATTTCCATCTTCAAAAGTAACAAGAGAAGATTTTTATACTTTAAAGCTTACAAATACTTACAAAACTGTCTTTCATACGCAATGCAGTCTCAGTGATCAGTTCATGTTCATGTTGTAGGGTGTTACCTTCGCTTAACTGGTTCTTGTGAACTTCCGGTAACCAGCACATTTCTGAAAAGTGAAAATCTTGTAATATGCATGCAATATTTATGACTTTTAGAGTGGGACAGTTGCAAAGTATGATGGCAAAGGTACTTATTTTGGCCATTTTAGGGTGGGACAAGTCATTTTAACAACAAAAGACCCTACATACATAATCTATATAACTCAGTAACTGTAGGGCAGTGGCGGATCCAGAAGGGTGTCTAAAGATTAAGGGCCTGGGACACAAATCATACATGCAATATTTAGCAACAACAAAATAAAAATTTCTTAATCTTTATACGAATAATTTTGGTTAAACAGGGGAGTTGGCGCCCCCCCCCCCCGAACCCCCTCCTAATAAATGTCCCTGATTTTATTATGAATTGAGAAAAGACTCATGAATACATGTAGTTATTCAAATACATGAAATAAACCCTCAAATCACAGGTTCCTCCTAGTTTTTGGACAATTTAGACCTGGCCTTCAGTGCAAAACTGTCAAATTAATCAATATAATCAAATTATCAGGAAATTAATTAATCAATTTAGATTTAGAAAGTATGCTACATTTAAGATTTAGACAGTATGTTAGAAGCATATAATATACTTTTAGTCAAGAGTGTACAGGGATTTACCCTGGATTGTATTCCATACACCTTGAGGCTGAATCAAGGGTGTAGGGGATTTACTCTGTGTTGTATTCCATACATGTGTGCAGAAGGCCCCAGTGCTTTTTAACTATGCCTTGTGACATCACAATATTTTACCTTCAGCTCAAGCTGTACATAGTACATGTATACTAAATTACACCAGTTGGCTTGCTATACAAACAAATCTTGTATTACAAGTTAGCTTGCTGCTTCAGCCTCTGAGGATGTATAGAATACAATTTACCAGAGGAAAATCTCTTTACATCCTTGATTGAATTGCAGTGGATATATCCCTGCTAGAATTACAAGAAAAACAATCCAATGCATGTCATATTTCCTTAGAAATAAAAAATGTCATGGTCAAGTAAGATTTTATACAACTTTCAAACATTTTCAGGTTGCATGATATCCAAAATCATGCACTTTTAAAATTCCCAAAATTATTTCATTTAGAAAAGGAAATCACCAAATATTTTGCAACTGAATGGAGTCTGTACCCTTCAAGTAGTAGCCATCTATATCACAGCCTCAACATGGCTGATGAAGGAGAAATTTAAAGGTCATATTATATTGTATATATGTACAGGGGTATTTATGAACTTTAATTTACTTTGATTTAATTTTCATACAAAATGAGGACGGGAAATATATTCTTTCACTGCAGTGGAAGGTATGAGACCAATTTATTTAAGACTTTATAAATCTATGTTTATGCACTGGTCCCACTCTGGTGAATAATATTGCCTAGTCTCTTATTCATGGATAATAAATTTGTGGAAACTTGAATGTAATTGATATTGCAATTCAAATTATCCTAGTAATTAAGAATACGAAGCCAAATATACTTATTAAGCAGATGTTGCATTATTTTGTATGCTTTCTGTGGTTCATGACATTATGCTGAAAATTCTTTCCAAAAAATATTTACTTGTACATACGTATGTTTATCTAGAGTGTTCCAAGAAAAAACATGTGTTGCCTGCTATATAGGCTCATAAAAGTTGCAAATAAATCTAAGGATGGTCAGGTATTTGCTGTACAGTGCATAAAAAAATCCACAAATAGGAAGGCTCTGATAGAAATTGACAATATAATAGAAAATGTTGAATATGATTCCCCTATCCTCAAAACTAAACAAAATAATATTACAATTAAATCAGAAATAATTATAATTTAATGCATGTTTCCAACAATCCTCTGAAAGTCTGACTATCCCTATGATATTGACTTTACTACACTTGAATTTAACATTCAGCTGATTTTCAAAGGAAATACTTAGTATTTAAGATATCTTTATCAAAATTCACACAATGATATATTGTGAGAACTATTCAAATGTGTCCATTTTTTTTTACCTTGACTTAGCTTTTTCATTTTGCATTTTGTTCAGTTTTAAAGGAACTTTTTTTTTTATCCAAATACACATACAGTGTACTATCACATGTTGGTAAGAAGTATTCAAATGTGTCCTGAATTTTTTATTGTGACCCCTATGATATTGACCCAACTATTTCAATCTGCATTTAGCTCAATTTCAAAGAAATTATTCAAGATATTTTTATCTATACACATATATGAGATAAACTATGTCAATTTTTTTTATCTTGATCTTCCCTTTAACCTTGACCTCGCTATTCCTTATTTTGCATGTAGCTTAGTCTTAAAAAAATCTTTTAATTTATTTTTATCTATGCACTTGCACTGACACATATTGGTGATAACATTTCAACTGTGTCCAAATTATGACCTGTTCCTTTTGTTAATCATTAATCTTACTATTTATTTTAGTTACAGCTCTTTTTTTTAAAGAAAGTATTCATAATATTTCTATCAAACGTACAATAACACAAAATTGGTGAGAGTTATTCAACTGTGTCATAATACTTCAAACCTTTATAAAGTTTCCTTTGACCTTGACCTCATCATTCCTCCTTTACTCTGATTTTGAACCATAGAAGCCTGATGCTTTTTTCCTTGTTTCATCAAAACTTATCCTGGGTAAGGCATTCATGTCCTGTTATAGATTTTAATTTCTTTTCATGAAGGTTGTTATCTAGAACACTGATATCTCAAATACAGGGATACATGTATGTCGAAGTGAGTTGGCACTCCCTAAAAATCTTTTTTTCAGCATTCTTCATGTTTTTAACCCTTGTCATTTCCAATCTTTCTGCGAAAATTTCAAATTGTTATTAAAAAAAATGAATAGCAATGTTTATGCCTTTATAAAAAAAATTTGAACAAAATAAAAACAAAATTTTACCTATCAACCCTATTTTTTATTAGCAAGTAATGGTACATGTATACAAGCATGTTTTTTTCCTTAGGCCTGATGTCTTATAGATTTCATTCCAGTTAATAAATCTTGTTGATCGATTGATTGTTTGTTGTTTAATGTCCCTCTTGAGAATTTTTCATTCATATAGAGATGCTACCACTTGCTGGTGTAGGGCTACAAATGTTGACCTATACTCGGCACTCAGGGCCAGTGAGGGATATTTTTCGAGCCAGCACTTACTGTGAAAAGGGACCTTTGTTTATACAGTCTCATCCAAAGGACCGGTCTCCACGACCCGCAGTGGGATTCGAACCTGCGACGTAAGGATCAACTCCTTACTCCGCGACTCTAGAGCAGACACCCTAACCACTGCGTCATGCAGGCGACAAGAAATCTTATTAAAAAGTCTAATAAACTGTAGCTCTGTACATTGTATTTACCCTAAAATGTGCGAATTCAATGCATTACCAAACTCGATAAATCATGATATCTGTATAACAACATATTGCTGTTTCCTAATTAATGAGAATTAGTTTGTGTATATATATAGTGCAAACATATAGTGCATATGCATAATGTATATGCATATAAACATATCAAGTTTTCAAGCAATAATTACTTAAGTTGAACTTCAGTATCCATGACACTGATATATTGAATATCATGGATATGTTGAAAGGGATTTTGAAGTCCCAAACCCTTATTCTTTGGGTATTTTGCCCTGGATATCTTGAATCCTTAGATATCAAGGTTTGACTGTATTTAAAATTTTTGGAGTTTCATTGTTATTCTGCTAACCCAGTTAAGCAGGTATTACTATTTCAATCTATACTATATATCTTGTTAATTCCTAACCCATACTAATTATCAGACTAGTAATCAATGACTTCCCTAAGTAAGTTGTGACTTATTGACCACTTTCAGGTACATATAAAGTGGCAGATTCAGGAACCCCCCCCCCCCCCACTCCAAGATATTTTTTTTAAATTGTCATTTTTACAACATATTGCATAAATGAGATTGTCTCTTTGCTAAACACATTGTTCTGTATTGTATTATATGTATTAAAAAACCCAAACATTTACTTATTGTAGTACTCTTAGATAGATTAAAGGCCGACTGAGTCATGATTTTTAATATTATACTTTCATGTAAATTAGTTGAATCTGATTCATCAAGAAACATTTGTTAAAAACACTATTACCCGCTGAATAATGAAGCCACACCCTCCAGGATAACAACAGTCGACATTGCTTGACTACAGGTGATATTCCAAAAAAAATATTGACTCTGCAGAATTTATGCGCGCAAGGTTCACTGTAATGTGATTGTTTGTTTGTTTGTATGTTGTTTAATGTCCCTCTCGAGAATTTTTCACTCATATGGAGACGCCACCACTTGCCGGTGGAGAGCTGCAAATTTTGTCCTATACTCTGCACTTACGGCCATTGAGCAGTGAGGGATCTTTTTTGTGCCAGCACCTACTGCGACACGGGACCTCGATTTATACGGTCTCATCCAATGGACCGGTCTCCACGTCCCACAGTGGGATTCAAATCCGCGACGTAAGGATCAACTCCTTACTTCGCGAATCTAGAGCAGGCGCTCTAACCACTGCGCCACGCGGGCGACTCACTGTACTGTGTATTTGTATAAAACATTCAGTATGATATGAAAAATACTTCATGTAGTTGCAATTGAGGGTAACATTGAAAATTTTCACCCCAAGAAAACCATTGTCAACCTCGGCTGTGCATCGGTTGACAATGGTTTTCTAAGGCTGAAAATTTTCAATGTTGCCATGGTTACACTCAACTACATGCAGTATTTATATAATACAATCTCAAACTTTATATTACTGAGAAAGAACTTCAAGATATCCAAGGATTCAGGATATCGAGCCTCGGTTGACAATGGTTTTCTTGGGGTGAAAATTTTCAATGTTACACTCAACTTCATGCAGTATTTATTATTTTATGCTGAATGTTTTTGCGAATACATATAATAGTGAACCTTGCATGTATAAATTCTGCGCAGTCACTATTTTTGGAATATCACCCGTCATGAAGCATTGTTGACTGTTGCTATGCCGGAGG